TTTTACCAAACTTTCGGACCTATATTTTTCTCGCCTATTTTTCTCCATATGTAAGTTCGAGATTAATTTATATATGGAACTTATTGTTAGTAATCTCAAACCAAGAGATGCAGTTCCGAAGAATTAATTTTTCGCTCTTGGACTCTTATTGACCGATTTAAAATTCATATATTATTATTATTATTAATATTGAGAGCCGACATATATTTCTTATCTGATTTTACCAAAATTGTTGATTAATACATTAATTACGTGTCGCTTTATTACAGCAACATTTTACTTGTGCAACTTCGAACATTTCTGACAGACCGAAAATGAATACATCGAGGAGTGCAAGAATCTCGGGGATGTCGATGCACCGACAAAGCCTCTCTTCTCGCCATCGATGATCAGAAGTGACTTAAAAGTACACGAGGAGCGTCTTTATATACGCATATGTGTGTATATATATATGTATATATACCGGCGTCGTCGAAACGAGATATAATTCAATATAATGTAGAGACCAGAGCGACATTATCTGGTCCGGTGCAGTCAGCTCGGATTCGAGGAGGACTACTCGATTAATCTCGACCCGATCTCAACAAAGCGCGGATTTATGGTCTTCTCGAAGGGCCCGAGAGAGCCTCGAGTCCTCACCAGACCCGAAACCTGTTTTTTGGCGAGCTCGTTTCTTTTCCGCGGTAAATTTCTTTCTTTTTTCCCCTCTTTCTTCCCGAGAGATTCTGTTATACTTTTTTCCCCTCTTTTTTATGCCAATCTTCTCTCTCTCTCAGACCCCGGAGACCGGAACTCGTGCCACCGCGCGCGAATCAGCGGACGGGATCTTCCACCTTTTGATCTTCCATCGTCTTGATTCCCGTATTTCCATCTTTCGTAGCTTCCGAGAAGCCGTCTCATTATTACCTCGTGCCATTATCTCTCGTGTTACCAGAAAGCTCCTCGAAACGCACGCACAAGCCGGAGATATTCCCCTTTCTCTCTCTCTCTCTCTCTCTCTCTCTCTCTCTCTCTCTCTCTCTTCTATATACCTTTTATATCTTTTCTCTCCGAAAACCGCTCCGGAAAAAAATTCGGATCTTATTAATAAAATTAATATTCATTTTCTCTAATAGGGTGTCCAGCAGATTCAATGAAAAACATTCCCTGACTTATTCAGATTTTCCAAGACTAGAAATGAATTTCTTCCCTTACTTTTTAGTATTATTATAGTCAATATATAATAGCCATGTTATAGTCAATATCTAATAGTTATATTATAGTCAATATATAATAGTCATATTATATATATATTGTAGTCATATTATAGTCAATATATAATAGTCATATTATTAATATAGTCATATTATATATATAGTAGTCATACTATTTAACAATATTTTAATGTTAGTCATATTATAGTCAATATATAATAGTCATATTATTAATATAGTCATATTATATATATATATATATATATATATAGTAGTCATATTTATAACAATTTAACGATATTTTAATGTTAGTCATATTATAGTCAATATATAATAGTCAATAAATCGATTTTAACCAACACAGAAAATTAGCATGCTGGGAGTCAAGAAAAAGTTTAAATTTATTTAATAAAAAATTTCAAATTATTGAAACAAATATAGAATAATATGAAAAATCCAGATAAATAGTAAAATTTCCTAACTTTTCCCTGAAAATTCTAGATTTATAAAATTTCCTGACAATTAAGAGTTTAACTAGGCTCTGTAATATATAAATATAAATTTAACATATATAAGATAGGCAATAAGAGCCAAATCGCGGATGACAGTGCGTTATTCTAAACGAAACTAAATTTTTTCGTTAGAATTAAATACCTGTGCCCAAGGCACCAAATTTTTACTTGGACACGGCCAAGATATAAAATTGGAATAATCTCTACAAGAGATTTTTAATTCCATGTATCCCCTATTCCCCCTAAAGAAATTTGGGATGGAATTAAAAATCTCTTGTAGAGATTATTCCAATTTTATATCTTGGCCGTGTCCAAGTAAAAATTTGGTGCCTTGTGCACAGGTATTTAATTCTAACGAAAAAATTTAGTTTCGTTTAGAATAACGCACTGTCATCCGCGATTTGGCTCTTATTGCCTATCTTATATATGTTAAATTTATATTTATATATTACAGAGCCTAGTTAAACTCTTAATTTATACACGCTGGCTTAAAGGCGTTTATTTACCAACATTAATATATATAACAGAGAAAAGTATAGAATCGAAAGGATCTGAATAGCTCAGTTGGAAGAGCAGTCGCCCGGCAAGCGAAAGGTCTCGGGTTCGATTCCCGATTCTGCGACTTTCGGATCTATATTTTTCTCTCGCACTTTATTTCTTTAGGGAGAATAGGGGATACATGGAATTAAAAATCTCTTGTAGAGATTATTCCAATTTTATATCTTGGCCGTGTCCAAGTAAAAATTTGGTGCCTTGTGCACAGGTATTTAATTCTAACGAAAAAATTTAGTTTCGTTTAGAATAACGCACTGTCATCCGCGATTTGGCTCTTATTGCCTATCTTATATATGTTAAATTTATATTTCCTGACAATGTCCGGTTTTCCAGATTTCCGCTAGACACCCTGGAATCTTATTAATAAAATTTAACATTAATTTTTTCTGATACTTCCCCAATCTTCTTACGTCTTTACGATCGCACTTTGTGTTTTCGGCGAGCGAAACGGAGGCAATTTTTGACGCCGAATTAGGGACAAATCAATAATGGGCCGTGGGATCGAGCCCGATGGATCCTCGTTGCTTCGCGTACCGTGTTCAATTGGTAATTCCGACGAGGAGACCGACGCGATGCATCGTCGACACGTCCTCCTACGTCGAGAGATGCGTTTCTTTCTCTTTCTCCGAATGCAACGACATTTTTTTTGAGAAACCGACCGGTGGCGACCGGTGCGTCTTTGTGTTGCCACAGCCGCAACCGAGCAAGCTTCTCTCCCTATACACTCGTTCTACATATGCAGATCCCGATTGCTCGTAGAATCGATTATCCGCGGCTTCGATCGTGACCGTGCAGCACGTTCACGCGATGCACGCGCGCAAGCGCAGCAACAAACTCGGACAAATGAGAGATTCTGTGGCCTCGCCTCGATATATACGCGATCTCAAACTGTTAATTCCTTTTATCGAAAAAAGGTTACATGTTTATCATTACACTGAAAAAATTGTAGGTATTCTCATTTTAAGAATTTTTAGTTTATTTTTTAGTTAGATCAGTCTGCCCCTCTTTAAAAATTAGTATCAGATATTCATAATTTATATATAAAAATGTAAACAAAATAAAGTTTATTTTTACATAAACCGTACTGTTCTGCACTGACAAATAAATTTATTGAATGTGAATATTTATTTCAATACTGTCTTATAAATCATTTGTTTGAAATTAATAATACTGATTTGACATGAAAAAATATTTATTTGATATAAGAAAATTCTTTCCAAAACAGATAAATATTTATTTGTTTGAAATAAATGGTTTAGTTGGCATTAATAAAATAAATATTTATTAATTTAATTTTTTTTTCAGTTTAGAAATACTTAAAAATATCTGTTAAAAAAACTTTATAATATACATATATTCACATTTTTTTAAAATTGTTATTGCTCAGTTTAAAAATTTTTCGCTTATTTCTAGAACATCTTGCTAAAAATCCTGTCTAAAAATAGACTCTAAAAAGATTAAAAGGAAACGACATAAAAAAATACTTTTGCTATAAAAAAAAACAAAGAAGATATTTTTAATTCTAAAAACGCTAAACGACTTACTTAGACTATCTTTTAAGAGGGATTTTATAGTACTCTTACTTTGAGAATACAATTTTTCGAGGTAAAAGACGCATCAACAGCGATGTTCTGCTCTCTCAACTAGCGACTTAAAAAGACCCTGCTGTGAGTTCCTCAGCAAGTCAAGCTTTATTCGAGAGAAGGGAATCTCGATTCAAGTCTTACTTATCGAAATACGTTTCGTATTGAAGGAAAAAAAACCTATTCGATTCGAGTCGAGTGAATGTCGCGTTAATACCTATACAAGTTGAATAATCTTCCCCAAGAGACACTGACGTATGAAGATAATTAGAAAGTCCGGTTTCCCTCGAGGTATCTCGAAGGCAGCAACATTCCATTGATAATCGTGTATCTTCAATGTTTACGCTTTACAACGCTCGATTTAAAAAAAAATGTCCCCGAATTCCGATCGAAATATAGCTCGCTTCGTTGCACACGAGCATGTAATCGCTTCCGAGACGCGATAAAAGCGATATGTATATAATCACGGTTTAGCTATAACCAGTTACGACAGTCAGCGACATTTTGCGTACAATATTTGAGGGCGCATGCGCTAACTGTACTATCAAAAATATGGCGGCGCCCACATATGACGCGTACCTAACCTCCGTCTTTTGTTTTGGATAAATTAATAGAGATCATTTGTATTTTTTCAAGAAATAATATTCAAACCATAATGGGATTTTCTTGGGTTATGTGTAAAAACATATATGGACGAAATCCAGAAATTTTATTTATTATCACCATATATTAAGATTTTTTAAAGATTTAAGACAATTTGTAATGTTGCATTTATAAATGACGATTTTAATATTATAGAGTACATATGAGTACTTGAAAAATTATTAAATCATCTTTTTTGTATTCTGTATCTTTGAATAACGCGCTTTTATACTATCAAGAACATGGTCACGTGATTAAGGGACAGGAACATCAAAGATTCCGACGCTACTGTCGTAACTGGTTATAGCTAAACTGTGATATTTAGGTCTGTTCTTATTAGCTGAACTGGCTATACACTAGTACAGAGGTTACATTTTTCCTTCCATTGTCGAGCAAAAAAGGTAACCTCTGAACTAGTGTAGCCAGTTCAGCTAAAAGGAACAGACCTATAATGCATACGCTTTATACTTATTCAATAATACGGTTGCGAAACTTGAAGATTGTGTTCGACTTACTTGTACGACCCGTGGATATTTTTGCAGGTCCCGTGTCTGCACGGGTTCCTGTCGCACTCGTCGATGTCGTCCGTGCAATTCGGCCCGGTGAAGCCAGGTGCACACGTGCACTTGTAACTGTCCTCGAGCGAGCGACACTCGGCCCCGTTTCGACAGGGCGACGAGGCGCAGTGATCCTGTCGTTCGCAGTGCTCGCCTAAAAAAGAAAAAGGGGCAATGTTGTTCAATACACGTCTCTCTTGTACCGAGGCGGGTTATTATGCGCGACCCGAAAAACGAGCTTGCACATAAGGATTAATATCGGGGACTCGTATCGCGATGCAATTTGAAGGAACGAATGCTCCCCGGTGATCTCGTTGGATGACTTAATCTTCATTCTCTGTCAAATGAATGTTATTTTAATATAATTTGAAGCTTTGCGTTCTATACGAAAATGTTAATTGAGATCAGGATGGTAAAAATTTAGGAAAATATTTTATGTGATTTTAAGATAATTAAAATATCTAATCTAAAATAAATAGTATATTGTGTATCAAGTGCGGAAAGTTGACAATTGGTCACGAGTACGGGGGATGGACGCACGAGCCGAAGGCGAGTGCGACCACCCCACACGAGTGAACAATTGTCAATCCGCACGTGATACACATACTATTTTGTATTACAAGTGCAGGCAAAGTGGCTTTGTGCGCGTTTTCTGTGCGCGAGGTGGCCGATCGCACGCCGCCATCTTGCGGCGGCATAGTGCGGGAATAGCCGTGTTCAATACATTTCCTACGGCTTCAGCCGTGGGCAATGACTTTAAACGCGGCTCAGCCGTAGGCAATGGCTTTAAATGCGGCTTATTCACTCACCGCGTCGCCGCTAGATGGCGGCGTGGAAAATCCTTTCCGCACAGAAAACACGCACACAAAGTGCCACTTTGCCTGCACGTGTAATACAAAATATATAGAGAATAATTTAAATTTTCTATATTACTTTTTTTCACAATTGACTATATACTGTATTGTAAACTTGTTAGTCTCAGTTTAACTATAATAGCAAAAACGATAGAAAATTAAATAAACCAGAACCTCAAATAAAATTTTACTTTTTTAATTATTCTAAAAACTTGTTAATATCACACATGCTTTGTAAAGTTATAAAAATTAATATATACACATAATTTGTTTTTAAAAATAAGGTTCACTAAATTCTTGATAATTTTTTAATCTTTAGCAACTGCAATTCATTCTTTCTTTCTTTGATAAAATGTACACTTATATTGATAAGTATCAATCATACGTAAGATTGAGAAAAGTAAGCGCAAAAGGAAAGATAAAATAAAAATTTGCAGATGAAGATTCCAGCGGAGATAAGAATAAATTAGCTCGGCATTTCTTGCCGACTAGCAAGTAGAGACGTTCCTTAAAATGGCGATAATGTCAGACGCATGTATCTACGGAGTCGAGCGTCTCTTCCTCCTCCCAACTCTACTCGCGAGCTACTGATTAGCGGAACTAATTACCAGAGTCGCTACTTGTTCCCTCGTGGTCAAGATGTCTTTGCTTCTGTCCGCTACAACTCACGCGCGGTGCTCATTTCATATACATTTTAGAAATCAATTATTTCTCATTTTATTTAAATTATATATTTTTTTCTAGAGGTATATATAAAATAGAAAATTTACAAAATTTTTAATCCAACGGGGTAAATAAACTAAAATTGCACCAAAAAAATTATATTCTAAGCGCCAAGAGAATCCTCTTAATTTAAGATGATATTCTTAATTTATTCTTATTTTTAGAAAAAAATATACTAAAATTTAGAGGAATTTCTTAAATTAAGAGGATCCTCTTGGCGCTTAGAATATAATTTTTTCGATGCGATTTTATGCATTAATACTAATTATTTTTATTTAATTTACACATTGGATCAAATTTAAAAATTTTTTAATTTTCTATATGTACATATATATACTTCTAAAAAATTTACAAAATTTTTAAATTTAATCCAAATCAAAATAATTAAGAGTTGATTTTATGCATCAGTAATTATTTTGGTTTCGCTGATACGTCGAATAAAAATTTTATAAGTTTGAGATTCAACGTGTCAACAAATCAAAATAATTAATGTCGATGCATAAAATTAACTACACTGAAAAAAAAAAGATTAAATTAATAAATATTTATTTCAATATTGCGTAATAAATAATTTATTTGAAACAAATACAATTTATCTGTTTTGAAAAGGATTTTCTTATATCAAATAAATATTTTTGAAATCAATATTATTAGTTTCAAGTGAATGATTTATTAGGCAGTACTGAAATAAACATTTATTCGAATTCAATAAATCTTTTTCCGTGTATTTATTTTCAATAATGATAAATTTATTTCTTTCAGACTAAGAAAGAGTTTACGTGCAGGAAACTGAGCACCACTCGTGCAAAGATACCGCCGCAGAGAAATACCGCATTCTCCGCCAATTATCCTACGAGTACACACTTCAACTTGCCTTCCTTCCTCCTCCTTCCTCTCTTTCGCTCCTTTCCGTTGTTACTCTTTTCTTTCGAAAGTCCTCCGTGGTTCTAGATTTATTTGTCGAGCACGTGCTTTAGTACTTTAGCACGTAGAGACGGTCGTAAAGGACGTAATCGTATAGCTTAGCATAGGTCGACTTCCGCGACTTCATATTGAAATTAATATACATATAATTGATTTTCTGTGTCGTAAAAAAATTACGCGAATATCCGATGCATAAATAGTATTGTACCTTTTCATAGCGCGAGAGAATGCAAATTGCGGTTGTAGCTTGGTGTCGGCATTTCTTTACGACGTGCAACACAATGCAAATTGGGAGGGAAAGAAGGAGAAAGAAAATTGCAACACGTTTTATCGTCTATCTATTAACCTTGCTATTCAACCTACGCCAATCGATAAGCATATTTAAATATTCGATGATTAACGCGCAACCTATTCATTGTCCAGCTTACGCAATTATACCTATTAAAGAATCCGCATAGTTTCCCATTCACACCTTTGACAATTACGAGCTGATTTGATTAAACCTTATCGATTCAGTCACTTATGTATGTATGCAAGATTACTAATTTTGTGAATAATTTATTTATTATTCTATAGTAATAGATTTATTTATTTCTAAAACAAATTTTATTATATCTTCAAAAAAAAAATAAAAAAATTATTTCTCTCTTATTATAGTCCTTTTTAAATTAGTTAAATAATTTATCAAATAAAAAAAAATTATTAAAATAAAAAAAATAATTTTCAAAATAAAAAATAATTAAATATTATTTACTATTCTTATGATAATAGATTTATTAACTGATTTTATTATATTCCCAAAAAATAGAAAAATCATTTTTCTCTTGTTTATACACAGTTGAAAAATTTCTAAATTTTTAAATTTAACAGATATCACACGTCCCAAACGGTCCACAGAAATTTTTGTATTACTTTTTGTATTAAAAATCTAATATGGATATGTTAAATAGAGACAAAATTTTAACACAAAATAAATATAATATTTAATTATTTTTTATTTTGAAAATTTTTTTTTATTTTAATTATTTTTTTTATTTTATAAATTTTTTAACTAACTTAAAAATGACTATAATAAGAAAGAAATAATTTTTCTATTTTTTTTAAGATATAATAAAATTTGTTTTAGAAATAAATAAATCTATTACTAGAATAATAAATAAATGCAAAACATCAAATAACTTAAAAGGAATTTTTAACAAAAAAAACAAATTTTTCTACTGTGTAAAAATTAAAATTGATTTCAATAAGTTATATAACAGGTCCTATTTCTGGTGGTAAGTGTAAAAATGCGAATTGTTTACTCACCTGTATAGCCGGTGCTGCACGTGCACACGTACTCGTGCAAAGACTTGAGATTGCATGTGGCACCGTTGAGGCAGGGCGAGGAGTCGCAGGCATTCTCGATAGGGATTTCGCATAGACTGGCGGTGAAACCCACGGGACAGGAGCACGCGAAGGACGGGGTGCCACCCCCAACGCTCTCGCGCACCCTGCACGAACCGCCGTTTTGGCAGCGCGATCCCGTGTAGCACGGATTCAAGTGCTGACAGTACTCTCCCACGTATTTCGACGTGCAACTGAAACAGAATTATGATTATGTGATTAATACTTTCTTACAATCATTTTGTACGAGAGATTAATTTTATTTAAATAAATTATAATATATTATAATTCTGGAGAGAATTAATATTTCGATACTTTTCAGTATTTTATAAATTGCAAATCAATTAAAAAAATTTTTTTTTATAAAATATAGGACGCTTAAAAATTTAGTATGTCTCAATAAAATACATTTTCATCAATTTGCAGATTTATCGCAATTTTCATGATCCTGTTCTATAATTGTTAATTTTAAAAATTATATATATAATTAAATTATTTTATATAATATCGAATAATAAATATTAAATAAAATTAAGTAATTAAAAATATAATTATGTAAATAAAATATATCTATAAATATCACATTAAATTTTTTCTCGGCAATAAACCTATAAACTTTTGAAAATTTCTTCGACATTACTTATTTCAGCGATTTATTTTCAAGAACTTAAAAAAATTCAAGTTTCTTTTAAAATATCATTACATTTCACTCTAATTTTGTATAACAAAAGAAGGAAGAAGAAGAAAAACAGCATCTCGATCGACTCAGATGTCAGCTGGGCGTTCCGAGGGCAACCATAATGCGTTTCTCGCGAAAAAGTACGATCTCTTATTGCGGTCGAGACTTCCACGAACGATCCAGAGAGATGAAAAGCCGGATTGGCTCCGCGTATCATTAAATTCACCATAAATACTTAAGAGTTCGCGCGCGCTACATCTCTTAGAATCCCTGCAAAATTCACCGCGTGAATGTCGGCATGAGAAAAGGGTGGGTTTGTCCTTCCAGAACGCAGGAACAAAGTCCTTTCGTGACCTCACTTCGAGGAGAGAAATCCATTCATATAATACGTTTCTCGAATATTCTTCTCGAGATCGGATTTTATTTTCTGCCTTCTATAAATTAAGCGAATTATTTACATCTTCATTACTTCTCGATTAATTATGCCTATCGGAAATAAAAAGCCTCGCTACAAAATGACAGATGCACAAATATACCGTTTCAACAGACGACGAGGTCGACGACCAGCGTCTTCTCAATAAGGAAATTATATTCCCTTCATTCTGTCGGCTTTCGAAACAAAAAAAAGGCGATGTTCTAACGGGCCCTAATGATCGCCAGACGAGAGGCACTTCATATATTGCGAGTTGCGATCGATCACAGCGCTTTTACATGGAAGTCCCATCGATACGAGAAGAAGCCTAGGGGAACTAGTAGGTATCCTTAAGGTAACTTGTTGTCTCCCCTTATGCTTCTTTTTTTTTAATGGCCGACCATAAAGACTTTTCTCGACTGCGCGTCCTTTACGGCGATCTCTCGCGTTGCCTTGAAAGGATCTTCGTTATCTTTCTTACAACACGAGACAAATTGCAGCGCGTTTGTATGAAACGAGTTCACTCGTTTAACGCTCTCGCTTGTTTAACGCGTGCCATATAACGCACACAATGAAAGTGATTCGTTATATTTCAGAAAATAATAATAATAATAATAGTTGCTGAGATTTTCAGAATTATTTCGTATAATTTAATATTAATATTTTATATAAACTATAAACCCATGTAAAATTAATCTTATAAGATATTTGTAAATTTTAAATAATTAATAATAACAAATAATAATAATAAAAATAAATTATTAATAATATATATATTATTAATAATATTAATAATTTTTCCCTAACACTTGAAGTGAATATTTACTTGTTTTGAGTTAAGAGGATGCTACCGTTCTGTTTTACCGACTTAGTTAGGTTAGGTTCACTTTTTATTGAATATATAGATTGAATATATATATTTTATAAATTAAACTTCGGCTCGTATACAAATAAAATATGTGATATAATAAAAGGCCAACTTAACGAGCTTATATGCTATTAATTGAAAAATTTTTATTTATTAATTTACGTCATACTATACAAAAGTTACGATAAACGTTTCGACTGTACGACAGTCTTTCTCAATATCCTAATAATATGTTAAAAAATTAATTTAGTCATATCGACCTTATTATAAATACAACATTTATGAGATTATATGACGAACGCAGTACAAAATTCATATTTGTTGGCATGAGTTAGAGCGTCAGATGCTGTTATATTATGTAACGACACTGTGAACAAATTAATATATCCGCTCAAATATTACATTTAGATTTTTAATAAATAGTATTAACTTACTTTTTTGTCACAAACATAACACTTTTTTTAAAAAAATTATTTCTTTTTACTTAACATAATCACAATGTGTACTTTTTTAAAAAACAAATCGATATCTGTATCTTACAATGTCGGCGCGCTGTATATATACCCAATTTTTAAGATGACGTAGACAATTTTTTTAGAATATCATAATAAGAACCGTCAAGACGCTCGGTGTCCTTTTTTAGGTTGATACTGTTGTTTTCTTCTTTAATATATATCATTTCTGATATCAACCTTTTATAATAATTCTTTTCATAATCTAGGATTTTTGTGTCGTTCCAATTGAAATTGTGTGTAAATTTTACAATATGATCAGAAACCACCGAGTGCCTTGCTGAATCTAATCTAATATTATTTTTATGTTCATTTACTCTTGTACCTAATTGTCTTTTCGTCTGTCCTACATATGTAGCATCACAATTATTACACGAAATCTTATATATGACCCCCGAATTATTTTGGAGCTTATCTCTGTCTTTTTGCGTTTTTATGACTCTGTTTAATTTCTTTAGACATCTGTATCCTACTGTTATATTTGATTTCTTTAATTCTGATGCTACTAGTTCCGAGATTCTTTCAATATAAGGTATCGCTATGAATTTTTTATTATTGTCATTATTTATGACTTCGTTATTAATATCTTGAGTCATTTCTTTGTTTAATCTATTAACAATAAGGAACTTCAGTCTATTATTGATTTCTGAGAAAATGAGATCAAGAGGATAACTATTGCTCAATAAAATCTCTATGATTAATGTTAAATTTTTACTATGAAAACGGGGATGTGATAATAATATTGACCGGTCTACTAAATTATATATTACACTTTTTTTGTGGCATATAGGATGATTTGAATGATATGAGAGTGTTCTACCCGAAAATGTTTTTTTCTGAAACCAATCTATGTATATTATGTTATTTATAATTTTGAGTGAGATATCTAAAAAACTTATGCTATAAAATCCTCCACAATGAAAGTACTGATAATAATGAATAGGAAGCGCTGTTATTCTTTCATATCATCTCTATTAGGAGCGCCATATTTTGTGCACAAATAAACTGTAGAATTGTTGTATTAAATAACTATTTTTATGAGTTGATGCAAAAGGCCGATAGAACTCTACTTTTTTAACTTTTATTGTTTTTTATACGAAATTACAGCGCTCCCCGTTAATTATTATCAGTACTAATTGTGGAGAAAGATTTTTCAATCTGTATAACCAAAAAAAAGAAAAGCCTTTAAACTCAAAGTCGGTAAAACAGTCATGGTCAGCATTTCCTTAAATATCATTCTAAGAAATTAAATCAAATTAAAAATTTCGAGAATTGTAAATGTTCTACGTAAAATATCGGTGGAAGAATCGAGATTGGCGATTGACCGTATTTCTTTGTATATAGGAAAGTATCGAGCGCATTGTCCTCCCCAACCTTCGCAGATGCAGCTGCATCTCGCGCCGGTCCTCGACTTCTCTCTTTCCATGTGATCTCTGGCAAGATCTCTATAAACGGAAGCGACGATTCCACGGCCATTACTTACTCGACAGTGAATCTCTTCTTGGCTACCGGTCAGAACCGCGCCGTTTGAATTTATTTATTTCTATCCGCGATCCGCCCTCGAACTCTATGCAGAGTTTGTAAAGTACGTAACTACCAATAATTCAAATAAACTAATGTCAGAGATAATAAATCGACGTCTTCTCTCGCATGTGATATACTGAATGCCTTCTTTTGAAACGTAAGTTTATTTATTAAGAACGTGGAATCATGAAACTTTGTGATATAATGTACAACGGAAAAATTCTGAGATACTGCGTCAACTAAAGTTTTTAACATGGAAAACCCATGTAAAAATATAAAATCAATTCATCAAAAATTTAGTTGTAAATTAAAACATTTTATTTTTATTTTAATATTAATTTATTCATTTCAATTTAATTTATATTAATAATAATAAACAAAGAAATATTTTCCAAATTTATAATAATTATAATATTCGTCTAAATGAAATTTTCTTTATATTTCTTTATAATTATTAAAGATTGTTTTATTAATTATTTCAATATTTATTAGACTTTATAAGTCGATTAAAAACTTAAAATCTTCAAAATCCTATAAATAAAATATTTTAAAAAAATTCTTTAAATTCGCAATTGTCGATACTTTTTAAGTTACAAAATAAATGATAAAAAAGTTACTATTTGTTTATAGTTTGTCGTGCAAATTTTGTTTAGTATAAATTTGGTATGACATGTTTCTTATACGTATATAACGTCGCGTTAAAAAGCGTAGAGCTAAGAAGAAGGTATCGTTAACACGATGTCTCGCTACCGGTATCTAACGCGATAAGTCGATCAAAGATTGCAATTATCGGCACAAATGTTACAACATACTTACGCGTCCTGCTTCTTAAGATAATCTTGCAAACGCGGATAGATATATAATTCTTCCTGTAAGTGCATAGATAAGCATACTTATAGATAAACGAGAACAGATTCGCCGGACGATAACTTTCCTCTTATCACTGAACCATCCGGCTTCTGGTATAGATTCGCGTTATGCAAATTATCGATTCTGCGTTCGCTCTCGATATATATGCAGGGATGGTCGCGTGATTCCGGGAGCAGGAATTTGATATTAATTCAATAATTTAAGGACCCGTCTTTTCCGTTTCGAGAACTGTTGACGCGAAACCGGCTACTGGAAAAAGTCAAGTAAATTTGCGCGAAGTCTCCGGTTCAGATTGTGTCGTATTTAACCAACGAAACGAACGACACTCG